GGAGCAGGGGAAGGAAGGAGAGGCTCCTGGTTAGGTAAGCAGCAGGGCTGGCCCTGTTCTCCACTCCAGCTCCCTGATAAGCTCAGAGTGAACAGCCCAGGAGAGCAGACCGGGGGCGTTATTGAGAAATGACTGTTCTTACAGGTAAGAAATGTGACAGTGGAAAGAGAAAGGAAGTTTGGGATCAAGCTATGAGAAAACAGGCCTGTTACAGGCTGGGAGGGAGAGGGTTAAGCAAGGCCTGCAATTTCAAGAGGGCAAGAAAAGACCGAGGTACAAAGACAGATATTCCAAAACTCCATGGAAAGCCACACACGGATTTCAAAATTCTCCTATCTACTGGTTCACTCCCCAAGGAGCCACAATGGCCAGAGCTGTGGCGATCCAAAGCCAGGAGCCAGGAGCTTCTTCTAGGTCTCCCACGTGGGTGCAGGGTCCAAAGGCTTTGGTTGGTCCATGACTGCTTTCCCAAAGGCCACAGGCAAGGGGCTGGGTAGAAAGTGGAGTAGCTGTTACTAACCAGCATCCCCCACCCCCCCAAAAAAACAACGGCACTCATATAGGATCCCAGCAGATGCAAGGCAAGGACTTTAGCCACGAGGCTATCGTGTCGAGCCCAACTCTCTGACTTTTAAATTAGTAAATCTTTTTTTCCTTTTTTTTTTTTTAAGCAGTAAGGAACATTGAGCCAGAACACATGGATTTGAACTTGATTATGCTTGATTATGAGCCTGTTACTAAACACTGCCAATCCTTGTTCTCGTCTATTAAATGGTACTTCATACCCATAATGTTTGTCTGAAATACTCCAAAAAGTAGCTCCAATTTTCAAATTTTGGAATATTCATATATTCCTAAGGAGCTATCTTGGGAATGGGACCCAGATATAAACATCAAATTAATTCTTTACCTATACACTTTATCCACGTAGCCTGGAAGGTAAGTTTAGACAATATTCTAATGTCCCTGTATTTTGACCGCAACCCATCACTGGTAGAATTTCCCACTATAGTGTCACACGGGCACGTGAAGAGTTTTAGATTTTGGAGCCTTTCAGCTTTCCAACTAGGACTAGTCAACCTGTGATAATAGTGGTGCTCATCTCCTAAGACTGCAACAAGAATACCAAGAGATGCCTTGCACATTGCTGACCTGACTCAGTGCAAAGCACAGTCCTGTTTACCATGACTGAGGACTTAATTTTTAAAACAGGATGACAGAGCTGGGTTTGACCCATAGCCATCAGTCAAGCAAGAATAGGAGGGAGAAGTCATTTGCCAGCTTGTTCTGGATCTGTTTCATTCCCCCAGACACGCGACCCTCACCAGCTCTCCATTTGCCAGGAAGGAATGGGGTGAGTGGAGCCAAAGGGTTCCTTGGTGATGTGTGAGTTTCCTTCCTTCTCTCCCCCGCAGACCATGCAAGACCGCTCTCTCTTCTTGCCCCTCTCTGCGCATGTCCTGCTACCACTCACGGGGGGTTCTGTTCTCAAAAGAGAGGGGCTCACCTGCATGTCTGCCATGTGTAAGGCAGGAGAAAGCAGCAGGGGCACTTCTAAGTCAGAACCTGGCTTTAGGGGAGAAAATACACACACACACACATGCACACACACACACAAAACCACCACCACCAAGACTGGTATCAGCCATGGCTGGGCAGTGCCAGAAAAAAAAAAAAACTGTCTTTGTGAAAGGCAGGCCCATAGAGGTTGTGCCAGCCTACACTCTCCCTAACAGTGAAGGTTACATTTCTTCCCACATGCACGCCTGCAGGTGTTGTTAGTGGAGATCTGAATGTAGGCCAGCCTTACTGGAAGTAGGTGGAACCTCAATGTGGTTTTCATTTGTATTTCCCTGACAGTTAGGGAGCCTGTTTATTAGCCATTTGAGTATGAATTTGTTGTTTTGAAAAATGTCTGTTCATTTCCTGTGCCCGTTTCTTCACAGGGTTGTTTGTTTTGCTGTCCTTGAGTTTCTGAAGCTCTTTGTAAATCCTGGGTATTAGTCCCCTATCTGTTGTGTAATGTGCCAAGATTTTCTTCCATTCCATTGATTGCTTCTTCACTTTGTTGATCATCTCCTTTGCTGTACAGAAGCTTCTAAGCTTGATGTAGCTTATTTTGGTTTTGACTACCTGTGCTTTTGGTGACTTTTCTAAGAAGTTTTTCCCTGTTCCTATATCTTGGAGAGCTCTTCCTATGTCTTCCTCTAGTAGTTTGATGGTTTCTGGGTGCAGTTTTAGGTCCTTGTTAGAGCTGACTTTTGTATAATGTCACAGGTGGGGGGTCTTGCTTCTTCCCTCTGCAAGCTGCTATCCAGTTGTCCCAGCAGCATTTGTTGAAGAGACCAGGCTTTTTCCTTGGATTGCTTTCTGTTTTCTTGTTGAAGATCAGTTGCCTGTACATGTGTGGGCTCCCTTCTGTGGTTTCTATTGCGTCCCACTGATCTCTGTTTCTGTACCAGTGCCAGACTGTTTTGACGACCACTGCTTTGTAATATGTCTTGAGGTCTGGAATTGTGATTCCTCCAGCTTGACTTTTATTCTTCAGGATAGCTTTGGCTATTCATGGCCTCTTGTGTTTCCGTATCAGCTTTTCTATTTCTGAAGAAAATGTTGTTGGGATTTTGATTGGGATCATGTTGGATCTGTATATTATCTTTGGTAATCTATGGATATTTCGATGATGTTGATCCTGCTGATCCAAGAACACGATAAGTTTCCCCATCTTTTAATGTCTTCTTCTATTTCTTTTTAAAATGTTTCGTAAGTCAGTACGGAGAATGCTAAGAGAACTGAAAACTGATCTGCCATATAACCCAGCTATCCCACTTCTGGGAGTATCTCCAAAGGAAATGAATCTGCATATGAGAAAGGGATCTGTAGTCCTGCATTCATGACAGCACAGTCCACAGTAGCAAAGATATGGAAAAACCCAGATGCCCATCCAAGGAGGAGTGGATAAAGAAACTATGGTACATCTACTCCATAGAATGCTACCCAGCCATTAAAAAGAATGAAATTCTACCATTTGCAAATAGTCCAACTTTAGACCTTTATGCTCAGCGAAATAAGTCAATTCCCAAAGGACAAATATCATGTGTTCTCTCTGATATAAGGCAACCTTCATGCAAAATACAAGCTCAGCAGCCCTTTCAATACTGTTTTTGCTACATCTCAGGGAGTTTTACATTATTGTTTTTATTCTCATTCATTCAAAAAAGTTTGTTTCCTTATTAATTTCCTCACTGACTCATAGGTCACAAAGTAGCATCATTTACTTCAAGAAGGCTTTTATTTTCTTTTTCATTTCTTCAGAGACACATTGGTCATTCAGTAGCATGCTATCTAACTTTATGTTGTAAATTTTCTATCTTTTCTTACTGTTGTTGATTTGATTTTATGGCATTTCATTTAAGAGGATGAATAGTAACTATGTAATAGAGATGATCACATCCAATGTGAAGATACAATGCAGTATATACCTCTGCTTTGAATCAAAGATGGACTCCCAATGAAACTATTGGATATATCTTGACCATAGGATGCTGGACTCTCTGCCATTTTCCACACCTACAATGTCAGGATACATTTACATAGCAGAATGATGGACTTATGACTGATTATGAAGGACTATAATATTATAATGATACAGGGGAAATCAGTGGAGAAGTGGGGGTTTAGGGGGTGGGAGGAAGGGAAATCCCAGAGCCCATGGAACTGTATCATAAAATAATGATATAAACAAATACATTTTTTAAAAAGCAGGGCCCAGGGAGCTCAAGGCTCTGTGGCTTTCTCAGCTGACTACTCCCACAGGGGAGTCCAGCCAGGACAGTGCTTCCCAGCTGACATGGAGCCCCCCACTTTGGCGTCCATGTGACCCCATAGCTAGTCAGGGCAGACAGGGCCCTGCTCAGGGAGTCCAGGGCCTGGAGGTGTTGTATACAGGGTACCCAGGGACTGCTTGGAAACACTGATTCTGGAGCCTTGTGCCTGACTGCCCAGGAATGCGTGGTTTGGGTTGACTTTCTGGTTTGGCCTACAGGAAGGTCTGATGGGGGAAGGCAGGAATGTGGCAACAGCCCTGGATCACCTTGGAAAAGTACTGCTCAGCCTCGGCCCGGCACTGCCCTTACAGGAAGCTGCTGGCATGAGTCAGATACTGACTCTGGCCTTGTGGCTTCCCATCTGCTCTCCAAGGAGATAAACACACCCTCAGCCACACACAGACTCTAGAAGAAATTTGGGAGATGGGAGTGACTCCATAGCGGATTCCCCAATCCCACTCCTTAAGCAGGGTCACAGACAAAGGAGACAGGAGACCTTCAGGCTCCAGACACTCCTGGATGTCTTGGAAGTATTCTTAAGCTTTTTTTTTGTCACATATATTGATTTATTTGAAAGGTTGAAGCGTAGAGAGGGAGAGACAAAAAGGGAGAGAGCTATCTTTTATCTACTGCTTCGTTTTTCCAAATGGCCACAATGGCTAGGACTGGGCCATACTGAAGCCAGGAGCGAGGAGCTTCTTCCAGGTCGCCCACATGGATACAATGGCCCAAGGATTTGAGCCATCTTCCACTGTTTCTCTAGGAACATTATCAGGGAGCTGGATCAGAAGTGGAGCACCTGGGACTTCTACTGGCATCCCCCCATGGGATCCTGGCATTGCATGTGAGAGCTAAATTTACTGTATCATGGTCACCAGCCCCTAAGCATACTTTTCTTTGTTTGTTTTTATTGGACAGTTAGATATACAGAGAGAAGCAGAGACAGAGAGGAAGATCTTCTGTCCACTGATTCACTCCCCAGGTGGCCTCAATGGCCAAAGCTGAACTGATCTAAAAGCCAGGAGCCAATAGCCTCCTCCAGGTCTCCCATGTGGGTGCAGGTCTCCCATGTGGGTGCAGGGTCCCAATGCCTTGGGCTGTCCTTGACTGCTTCCCACGCCACAGGCAGGGAATTGAATGGGAAGCAGGGCCATGGGGACATGAACTGGTGCCCATACAGTTTCCTGGCACGTGAAAGGCAAGGACTTTAGCCACTAGGCTATTGCACTGGGCCCAGGAGCACACTTCCTCATTCTCTTATCTAGAGTTCCGAGAGGTAAAACTAGGTAGAGTTCTCTCCCTGCTGGGTTGTGTGGCCGGATGGGCATTCACCTCGATGGGATATCATCAGTCTCTTAACTGCAGAGAAGGCAGAAAAGCCCATGGAAGGTTGTGATCAAGGCCACAGACATGGAGGGTCGAGGGGTTGCCTCAGTGGGTCAGCAGCTGGAAAAGTCTGGGGGAAAGGAGGTAGGGCCATGGCTCAGCCCATCTTCTCGGCCTCCTCGGGCCCAAGCCCAAGAACAGAGTTCAGTGACGTTCCTGCTTTCTGCCTTCCATGGGCCAATCTCTGGGCACCGCCAACCTTGCAGCTGCCTCCAGTTGGGCCACCGGATGTAGCATTTGTTCCTTGATTTTCCCACGCCAAAATGGCATTGAACTGTTGACAGATTTGGAATGGGGCATCACTTCAGATCAGCTCCTGGGTGTGAGAGAGAGGCTGAGGCGGGGGTGGGGGGGGAGAGAACTGAATTTCTTCCATTTCCCTCTGCCCATCTCTCTGGCTCACTTTCATACTGTTACAGTTACTCATTCAGACTTCAGTGACCCACATTCAGCTCTGATGATGGTGAAAGCGAGTTCATGGTCACTGATGATTCAGGAGAACCGGAGGCTTGAAAGATGAGCTGAGTCAGTCATGTGAGCTGTGCTTTTTCCATCCTCCCTCCCCCGTGCCATTGTAATGTGCACACCCGCTCACCTTGCCCTAGGGGTTACTGTCTGAAGTGTGTTGGCCCATGGGAGCGCAGAGAGGGTGCGAGATAGAAGCAGGTAAATCCACACGGCCACTCTTCAGGACTGCTCCAAGGCTTTCAGGCCCCTTGAGAGACACCAGTCATGCAGGCTCCCACGATCCAAGCAGGGAAACAGAGACAAGGAACATTAGAGGCTGTTGCAGTCAACTGCTCCAAGACCCTCCCTCCAACATGTAAGAGGCAGGTTTGGTCTCATCTGTGAGCAAACCCCTTGGCAAAGGGGAGGGGAGTTAAGTCCAGCTCAGAAATGTGCAGATGACATCAGAGTGCCTTAATGGTGGCCACCCATTCGGGGTGGACCAATTCTTGGAGTTGATCTTCAACCCTGAACAACAGTGTCATCGCCAGTCTTACCCCTTCCTGCTTACCTATGCTTGGCTTCTACCGTTTCTCCACCTGGAGCTTTTCAGTCCAATCCAGTTCTCATCAGGTACATCTAGAAACTTGGTAGAGATCCAGGATCCCAGGTCCTAGGCTTACAGAATCAGAAGTCCTGTGGGAGCCCAGCCAGTTCCTGATGGCCTATACCAGCCCCAGCCCTCAGGGGAGATGCAAGGTTAGGGACCCTGCTCTAGAACTCTTCGAGCTGGGCTGCAGGAGGCAAAGCTCTGTGCAGAAGCTGTACCAGGAACGTAGAACAGAAGTACACAGGCCACCTGGTTGTGATCACAGTTCTGACCCAAAGGGCTCAGAACGGTTCTACTTGGGTACTCTTGGCCACCTCACTTCTTGCCACCAGCCCTAGTCTCCCAAAAGTGGGGCTACATCCTTTGAGGGTTTGTAGGTGAAAGGCACAGTTCTTCCTGTCCGGGCTGGGCTGAACTGAGAGAGGGAGGTGGGGGGCGGGGGGACGGGGGAGAGGGGAGAGAGAAAAGAGAAGGAACACGAAACTGCTGGCTCTCAGCATACCCAATTAAAATAGCAAGCTTAATATGACACACTGAAACCCCTAACCATTTGTTGCTATGGTACAAGCAAGAGTCTAAAGCCAGAGAAAACCCCAACTCTCCCGGTTTGGCTTCCCTACCCCCATCCGCCCCTCATCTCACACATGTATGCCACACAGGGCTCAGGGGCAGGTTGAGGGGTCCCCCTGTTGAGGGATCCCGGAAACAAAAGCCAGTTTTACGCACTCCAGGGCAGAGCAGCAGGAGGGGAGGGCTTGGGGTGGAGAAGTACTAAGTTGGGGGGGGCGAAAGGGAAGTGCTTTCAGGGTTTCCTCTCCTTGCCTTCCTTCTCCAAGGAGGCTGAGGCCTCCAATAAAAAGCCTGGGACAGCGGATCCGAGGAGCACAGCTGGCCGACTGGGGCCTGGAACCCTGACCAGGCTCCCTCTGCAGGCACTGCAGGCTGTGTTCAGGTATGCTGGGGCAGTACGGTTTCCTCATGCCTGCCATCTGCCAGGCTGAACTTTGTAGCGCTGTGGTCAGGCCTGAGCCATCACACCCAAGTTTGGAACGCTGCCTGCCTCAGGAAGACACACTGTGGCCCCCTCATGTGTTGTTTCTTCCAGGTCTCCTCCTCTGGCTCTGGGGTAAGTTAGCAAGACACCTGCCTTTACAGAGACACATAGAGTTTGATGGGAGTGTCTCCAAATGGAAAGCACTTGTTATCCAAATGTCGAGGCCCCAGTCCCTTGGTTCCTGCCATTGTAGGCCTCAGGCCTCTCTGGGAAATGATTGAGAGAACCGAGTACCAACTCCTATAGGGTGCTTTTGTTGACATACAGAAAGTTCTAGCAGGAAGTCAAGTGACACGCTTCTTACTCCTTTCCTGCAAGTGACAATGGCAGTAGACCAGAACTGTCTTCCTAAGACTTATCTAGCTCTGTGTGCTAACATTTTAGTGCAAATCCAATTAGATTGTCTTATATCTCCATCTGTTGCCCAGTGTACTTTGCTCTCAAACAACACGTGCTGGTCAGATAAGCGTTCAGAAGACAGACCTTGGACGACCATAAAACCATCTTTTCTAGTGTGGAATATTCAAGTCTTGGAAATGTTAACTTTGACAAGGAGTTGCATCCTATCTTCTGAAACATACTTAAATATACACAGGCACTTTTAAAAAGCCTTGGGAAAATGGAATTCTAAGACAATGTGGGGGCTGGTGCTCACCTTAGCCACCAGCTGGGGCACCCACATTCTGCAGCAGAGCTCCTGGGTTTGAGTTCTAGCTCTGCTCCTGGTTTCATCTTCCTACTAATGACTGACCCTGGGAAGCAGTGGGTGAAACTCAAGCAGTTGGGTCTTAGGGATGAGTTCCGGACACCCTACTCCAAGCTGGCCTACTCCTGCTCAGGATGGGCATTTGGGAAGTGGAACAGCTAATGGAATATAGACTTTTTCTTCATCTCTCCCATTCTCAAATTGAAAAAAGAAGTATTTGTGCATGTGTGTGTATGGGAGAGAGACAGAGAGAGGGAGAGAGAGAGAGAGAATATGCACATATTCCATAACCATTTTGAAGACCCCTTGTAGTCATGTTTGAGGTGTCACATACCTGGCCCATTGTTCTCAACAAATATGTACTTTATTCCATCTCTGGGAACATCCTCCCCAAGAAACAGAAAGTCATCTGGAATGGAAAACTGAATGATCTCAACCCCATTGAAGACCTTCCCTATAACATGTGCCAACCGGACCACCACCTCCCAGTTTCCTCAAACAGTGGCCATGGGTACACAGGGGACACCTTTGGGGACAGGGAGCTACCTGGCCCTCTTTGTTTCAGTTTGCCCAGAATACAGACTTTACTGGTGGGAATTTTTGTGCTCATATGTAGGTGCTCCATGATTATTTTTTAATATTCATCACAGCCACCTGGTAAACCTGGCCAAGGCAATCATCTTTACTTTTTGTATATATTTTATTTTCATAGTTTACATACTTGAGAGAGGTGTACGCTCATGTGAGTCTTCAATTAACGTGGAGAGGATTCAGATACAGAGCAAGGAGGGTGGAACAAATGTTTCCATTTTTTTTCGCCTTTATCCATACTGGGGGAAAGGTAGGGGCACTCCTTGCTGTCAAACTACACCGTCACCCAGGGACAGAGACAGACCTTTGATGACGTCTTAGAGATCCTGACGTGGGGAAGAGTGTTCCAAGGATGTTACTGGACGGGTTTTGATGGTTCTGAGATGTCATTGACTTCATTGCGCCAGGGTGGAGAAGGTCTTTCCCAGGTCTGTTGGCTGACCAGGTCCACTTTAGTGCAACCACAGGCCCAGGAACATGTTGTAAAGATTGGCCAGGAGAGTGGATCAACCTGTTCTGCTTTCCAGCCTCTGATGAGGCACTTGTTGTCCTCTGTTGGCCTAGATAGCCAACAGCCATGTCTCCCATGTGTATCTGGACATGCTGTCCACTGCATGGGCATCAGTAACAAGGTGGTCCAGTCCCGGTACATGCACTCTAAGAACAGAATACATATATGTATTTTTCTTGCTATATACATTTTATTTTTTATAATTTTTATATATTTAATTAGGGTATGAAGGTTCAAGGACTATAGGAAAGTGGGTGAGACCATTTTCACATTCTCTTCTTTCCTTCCTGTTTCTGGGGGAATGGGAGAGATAAGGGGAGAAGCCACATCCAGCCTTACAACCATCCCAGGGTCCCCAATGTGGGGCATGCCCTGAGGGTCCTGCTCAAGTGGTTTTGATAGTTTAATAGTTCTAAATTGCTGTCGATCTTGATGCTCCAATTACAATGAAATCTTTCCAGACTCCACTGGCTGACATAGTCCACATTAGAGAATTCACTTGCCCAGGTATTCACTGCGAACACTTGGCTGGGGTACTTGATCAATTTGTTCTGTTCTCCATCCTCTGTTATGGTACCAGGTGTCCTCTTTAGTTTCCAGTCTACTGCCATCCTCCATGTGCTTCTGGATATGTTGTCCACTGCTCCGTCTGAACCACTGACACATACATTCCACAATAAGACCATGAAATACAAGATTTTTTCCATAGTTGGGGTTCTGAGTCCAGCTGTTCAGTTGGGGGCATTCCCACATAAATTTCATCTGAAGTGATTCCTGACCTGATTCTCATGTGTGCGTAACAATACAGGGTCTGACACAGTCCGTTGCCCAAATCAGCTTTCGAGCATGCTGTTAGCTGCAAATGCAGGGTCAGCTGTCCCCAGCCCTGTCTCCTATGCAAACAAATGGGTGTTACAGTCCAGTTCAATCCTGCCTGCCACACACTCAGCCCCGACACAAACCACTGGAAGTTGTAGCCTAGTCAGAGGGATCCACAATAACCCCCACCAGGCCCGCCCCTGCCCTGGTTCCCATGCTGGCCAATATGTACAACAGACTGGTCCTGTCTGACCCACATCCCATTCAGCCCTCATACATATCAATGGGCATTGAAGCCTAGTTCAGCCCAACTAGCCCCACTATTCAGCCCACACATGTGCCAGCTATCTAGCCTGTCCCAGTCCTGGTTCTCATGCTCACCAGTCAGATTGGCAACCCAAGAGGGAAGTGCCCACTGCTTTCCTAATGGCCTCACTCCCACTCCTGGATCTTGCACTCTCCAGGTGGTACTGCAGTTTAGCTTGACAGAGTTTGCCCCCTGTGCTAGCATCTGCCAGCTGATGCTTTGTCAAAGCCTGATCAACCCTCACCCACTCTGGCTTTTGCATGTACCAGTAGGTACAGTTTGCCTAGCCTGGCTTGTCTCAGATCCAGCTTACATGCAGACCAGCAGGTGTTGTTTCCTGCCCAGCCTGGTCTGTCACCAATCCCAGCTCTCATGCTCACTAGTGGGAGTAGTGGCCCAGCAGGGGAGCTCCCTGCAGCACTCCTACTGGATTCGCCTGCTTTCCCCTGGGTCTCACATGTGCTGACTGGGCACTGTGGTTCAGTTTGACATGGCCCACTCCCCCCATCTCAGCATTTGCCAGTGGGTGCTGTAACCTGGCCCAGCCTGGTCGGTCCCCAGTTCCAGCTCATGCTACAGAGTAGACATCCCAGCCAGCCCCCAGTCCTGGTCCTAATGTGAACTGGCTGGTATTGTGAACCGACCCAGCATGACCCACACACCATTCTGGTTCTCAGATTTGCCGGCGGGTGAT